CACAGTATCCCAGTATCACAACCAGGGATTGAACCCAAGCCAAGGCAGTGAAAGCCTGGAACCCTAACCACTGGACCACCAGGGAACTCCCTGAATCTCCTAACTTAGAAGTATTTGCAACTCAGTCATATTTTTGTCAAACATCGTGCAGCCCGAACAAAACTTGTCCGCCAGTTGGTCCGGCCCCCAGGCTGTTGATCCCAGACCTGAGCAGGCCTTCACCCGTGGAGGTGCTGATGGCTGGGTGTTCAGACCCCTGGGACTGAACAGCCCTGCACCCTGCATTGATGCAGGATACCTTGTTGATCACCCGTTATCTTGTCAATAATCGGGTGTCTTTCGGGCTTACCCAAGTCTGAGCCGTTGATCAGCTTATTCTGTCCACCCAGCCACGAGGTTTGAACGACTGAGATCAGAGGATCTTGTTTAATAGTGGAAAGCCACGCACACACACTGTGCTGTTTTTCCCTAATTTTCTGACTTGTTCTGCTGGTCTTGTTAGTTTTTCCAGATAAAGTTCGGAATCATTTCATCATTTTGCCTAAAAGCAAAACAAGCCAGGCCGCCTTCTGATGTGCCGGCCGGCGCTGCGGCTCAGGACACGCCGCCCCCTCCGGGACAGTCCCGTGGCTCACCTTCCCTTCCTCCCAGGTGAGCTGGACGCGGGCCTCCCGCCCACGCCTCGCTCCCCCGGGGTGGAGTCGGTCTGGGACCCCGGGGCCTGGGACGCTGGCTCCCTGCCCTGTTCCTGGCGGAGGGTCCCCAGGAGCGGGGAGGGCGCTTGGGGTCCAAGCTGGACTGTAAGAGTTACAAGGAGGGGTTGGGTCCTTCCTCCCACAAATGGGAAGAAGGGGCCCTGCAGGAGGAAGGGCCCTGCTGCCTGCCCCCCACCCCCGGCGCCCGGCGCCGCCCGCACAGTCATAAAGGCCCCGGCGCCTGGAGCGCCCGCCAGCACGCCCGCCCTGCCTGGGAGCTCCGCGGCCACAGAATCGAAACTGCTTCCAGCACAGTGACCCTGGGCTGTGGCTGTGGGAGATGTCGCTGGGGGCGGGAACAGCAGTGCGGGAGCGGGAGCCCGAGGCCTGGGCTGGAAGCTGGGCCCCCAGGGCCAGCACAAGCCCCCCCCAACTTCGGGGGCCACCGTCCCCCTCAGCACCGCGCTCCCCCCCACCCCCGCCACCCTCCACCCAGCTCTGTCAGAGCCCCTTGCCCTGCGAGCCCGTCGTCCTGGCAACAGGTCCCCCCAGCAAGGAGCCTTGCGTGTCTCGGGCCCACCCCCACGCCAAGAACCAACGGGGCTGGTTCCCGTGTGCGGGACCAGTGACCGGGTCTGGTTCACGGGTGTCTGAAGAGCACCCGCCAGGGGCCCAGCATCGAGCCGGCTCGCAGAACCTTCTGCGGCCCTGGCCCGGGTCCATGCAGGGACTCTGGCGGCAGAAGGGGGGGAGCACTAGAGAAGCGTTGGGGGCAGGGAGGCCTCTTCCAGGGGTCGTCCTGGGCTATGGATTCTGGGTTTGGGTTGCGACTGGGCTCTGGTTCTGAGCTGCAAGCTCTGCTTGAGGCTCGGGGACCACAGCGGGGCCCACAGCAGGCCCCGGGGGTTCTGGGCTCTGCTCTGACACCCGATTCTGAGGTCTGGGCTCAGGGCCTCAGGCTGAGTTCCCGCAGGTACGTGCTAACTTCTGGGTTGGGGGTCAGGCTCTGTGCCCCGTGCTTCGGGCTCTGGCTTCGGGGAGCAGGTTAGTCTCCGGGCTCCAGGCGGTGGCCCTGGACTCTGGGTGGAGGGCCCGTTGGCCACAGGCCGGGTGGGGTCGCCCTGCTGCTTACAGCCTGGAGCATCCTCTGCTCGGGAGCAGAGATGCTTGCTGGTCTTGTGGGCCGCATAGCCCCCAGACCGCAGCAGGGCCAGGTGTGAGTGTGCGCTCGATGCCCCGTCCGAGTGAGACACCCTCTCCGGCAGTCGGGAGCCGGGGCGCAGGCCAGCAAGACCCCAGGAGGAGAGGCCGAGCACCGCGGCCGGCCGGGAGGGGAGCTGCTGGGAGCCGGCCCGGACGACACAGCAGGCTGTTCCTGCCCCACCGAGGGTGTGGAGAGAACACAGCAGGGGCGGCCTGAGTCAGGGCCCCGGCAGGCAGGCCCCTCCTCTGTCCTGACTCGGGGGTCATCTGAGAGCCCCAGCAGGCACCCGAGCCCGCGCCCTCCAGCCTGAGGTCTGGGCTGAGGAGGGTAAAGAGGAGCCTCCGGGGCAGGGGACGTGAGGGCTGCCTGGGAGCGGGCGGCTGGCCTTCAGGGACGTGTCGCCAGGGGCCCGGGGGGCAGAGACCGTGGGGGTCAGGTCGTGGGCGGTGAGCGGAGGGACGTGACCTCGTGACCTCGGGGAGACCAGAGATCCTGCTAGCGGGAGGGAGCCTTGGCCGCAGATCCCATGGGTCACAGATCAGGGCCGTGGGGAGTGAGCAGGTGATGGGGGCGTCAGTGTCACTTCATCAGTGACCAAGAGTGGATTCGAGTTAGTGACCACGACCACCCAGAGGTGTGTGATCTTCCGGGGGTCACGGCCCTGATGGTTAGAGACTGAGGTGTTCCCGGGGACCTGCGACGTTGGCGGCCACTGCTACAGATGACGGGGGCAGGAGGGACACTGGTCATCAGGGACTTGGAAGAGACGTCACCCGTGGTGAATGCGATGACCCTTACTGGACAGTTGGAGGATTTGATGGCGGGGAGGCCCCTCCGTGACCAGGGGCAGTGGTCCCGAGGCCACTGGAGACAAGTGACCACGGCCATTGCTGAGAGACGCTGGTGCTGAGGCGGCGTGGGCCTGCACACGCTGACCATGTGTGTGATCAGACCCGTCCCTGATTAGGACAGCGCTGATCGGTGACATTGGTGGCCACTCCGCATGACCCGGGACGGCAGTGCAGGGCACAGCGGTGGTCAGGAGCAGGGGCGGTCAGACGTGCTGGCTGTCGGGGGCATCGGCAGCCAGACACCCCGCGTGGAGATACTGCTGAAGAGGGTGCCGCATGGCTGGTGAGAAGTGGTCAGAGACGTGACCGGCGAGCAGGGCCAGCCCCTGGGGACACTGGCGAGCAGTCAGTGACCAGGCGCATCCCCGAGCAGAGGCCTCGATGAACACTGGTGATCAGCTGTTAGTGATCAGATGTCTCTGGTCATAGGCTCTGGTGATCAGATGTGTCATTGATCAGGAATGTCAGTCATGATGACTATCTCCAGCAACCAGCATCATTGATCAGAGAGCTCAGTGACATCACTGATCAAAGACACCGCGGTCAGGTTCACCGGTGACCATGGGCACGCGGACACTGGTGACCAGGTAGCTCAGACGAGCTCGGGAGGATGCCGGGGCACCCGTCCCCCTGGCTCTTCCTGAGCCCCCTTGAGCCCTTAGGAAAAGGGCCAGCACGTGGCTAAAGGGTGCAGAACCCACAGCCTTCCCGAGCCTCCCCGCACCCGCCGAGACCCCAGGGTCAGGTGGTGAGGAAGTTCAGGCGAGGCGCAGGACCCCGTGTTCCAGGAGCCCCTCCGTCTGAATCCCGGGGCTGTAGGACCAGTGCACTCCTGACAACCTCCACACCCAGGCGGGACTCAGGAGCCCCGTGAGCCCACGAGACAGGCCAGAGGCATTCACAAAAAGTATTTTATTATTCTTAACAGTATTCACTTTGAAGGAATAGGAAGATAGCATACAATTTTTACAGACAATATATAAATGTTGTACATAATTAACAATAACTTAGTTCACTAATCCAAAATAAAACAAGCCAAATAAAACATAAAACCAGAAAATACTGCCGGTCCTTCTTCTTGTGCGGACACTAGTACAAAATAAGTTACTTCCGGCTGTGGTGCCCCCTATTGCACTTGGCCTACATCAGCACAGTCGTCTTCCTGGGCCGGCCCCGGCCAGCCGCCGCACCGGCGCACAGACTCCGCTCGGACACGGTTATGTACAGCTGTACCTTGGGAAGGGTCCAGACACCCACAGCGCGGCGCAGAGGGACCCCGGCAGCTTGCTGGCCTCGCCTGGGTCCAGGCGCAGACCCACCTGCCGGGTCAGCCCCCGGAGGCCTGGAGCAGCCCCGGCCCCCGGCTCCCCGCCCGAGGACGGTGCGCTCTGAGCGTCTCTCCAGCCACAGCCTAGGTTTGTAGGTTTTCTTCCTTTCCACAGCAAGGGCACTCGTGGCCATGTACAATTGACTGGACCCAAAGAGTTTAAAAATAAAACAACTCGTCAGCGAGTTAAGCTTATGCAGGCTTTCTCTTTTTTTTATGTTTCTCTTTTGCGTGGTGTTGGAGAAGAGGGGGTTCAAGGGCTAGCAGAACAAAGGGCGTATGTACAGGGTCCCCCGGACGAGGCGGCGGCGCAGGCTCAGGGCCGTGGAGGGTGCCCGAGTCAGGCCGGCTCCAGCCTCAGGACCAGGGAGCGATGTGGGAGACGTTTCCCCTCCCAAGAAAGCGCTTCCTTCCTGTGACCCAGCCCTGGCCTGGGAATCCACACGGGGCCGCCCGTGATTGTCTCTGCCCTCCGAGGCCCGCGCGGGCCCCCTGGAGAGGCTCAGCCCAGCTGGGTTCGGTGCTTGCGGAGGGGGCCCAGGTCCCCCCAGAGACCTGGCCCCCAGAGCCAGGCAGGCGGGCTGGCCACGTGGCACTTGGCGCCGAGAACCAAGTCTCGCCATCCTCGTGAGAAACCAGAGCCAAATAAATTCCTCCGCCTACTCCCGCTTCTCCGCAGCCCCCGAGTGTCCCTCGGCCGCTCGTGTCTCTTCAGAGTCGTCCTTCACGCTCACAGTCCTCGGCAGAAACCCCGCCTGGGCGCCTCCATGCCCGGGAGCAGCTTCACAGTGACGGCCGCGTTGTGTCCAGCTGGGCGGGCGGGGGCTGCAGTCTTGGGGTGGGCCGGCCAGCTGGGCACCAGGTCCCCCCGCGCCCTGGGAGCGCGTCCGCGGCGTCCATCCGTCGGTCCATGAGGGTGGTCCCTAGCCCATGGCGGTCACCATGCTGGACGGGTGGGGGTGGCCGAAGGACAGGCTGGAGGAGGGGTGGATGGGCGTCGGGGTGGGCAGGATGTGTCCGGAGTGGCTGAAGGGCGGCAGGTGGCCCACGGGCGGCATGTGTCCCGCCAGGGCGGCGGCGCTGAAGGGGGGGGCCTTGTCCTGCGCGCACCGGGACAGCTCCTCGAAGCACTCAGACCCCTTCTTGCTCTTCTTGGACTTGCTGGACATCTTCCGGTTCCGGGTCTGAATGCCTTCCTTCTTCATGGTCAGCGGCCTGTTCACCTAGGGGGCCACGCAGAGCTCTCAGAGGCCAGAGCTCCCCTGCTGGCCAGACCACACCCCCAGCCTGGCCAAGGGGGGCCCCTGCCCAAGGCCCACTGCCCTCCAGGGTCTTTCCGCCCTCCCTGCCAAGAAAGGCGCCCACCCACTGCAGGCTTTGCTTCCGAGCAGAGATGGCTGACCACGGGGGGCGTCCTCCAGCAAGCTCGCCCCCCTCGTGGGAAGCCCTTCTGGCGCTCGCTTCCCAAGCCAAGCCAAGCCACGCTGGGGCCGGCGGCCCAGGCCGCACAAAGCCCACGGTCCCCGGGGAGGGGCGGGGCAGGCCGGCGGGCGACTCACATTGTGCAGCTTGTAGTAGAGGCCACAGGCGTTGCATACGGGGTCCCCGTTGGCGTTCCGGCGCCATAAGGTGGTGGTGGTCGTCTGACAATTTGCGCAACAGGTGCCTGCTCTCCTGGCAGCCGACTGGGAGGGGCGGGGAGGGGAGGGGCGGGGTCGGCAAGCGGGGCTCCCACGGCCCCCGCGACCTCCCTCCTGACCCTCATGCCACCCCAGCTCCCTTCCCCAACCTACTGAGCCCAGAAGCCCAAATCTCACAGGAGTCTCTGCGTCTCAGAATCAGAAATCTAAACCATCACAAAACTACAGAATAAAGCGCTCTCGGAACCAAAGGGGCTGCAAGAGCTGCAAGGGGAAAGTAGCCACTCCCCCAGCCCCCGAACACGAATGCTGCAGACGAGACCCAAGGCTCAGAGAGGGAGCCCCTCTAGACGGCTGCCCATCCCCCTGGGCGCCCCGAGCTGGGGCTGCATTCCCACAAAATCCACAGTCCTGGGCACATCCAAAGCCCCAGGGCCAGAGGACAGGGCCCTGCAGCTGCCCAGGGTAGGGACGGGAAATGCTCGGGAGTCGAGCTGCACACCGCCCAGCGCAGTAGCCACTGGCCACGTGGCCATTTAAATTCAACTGAACTACAGTTTAACCAAGTTACAAACAGAGCTTCTTCAGTCTCAGCCACATTTGAGGGGATCCCTAATCACAGCACCGCTGGAGGCGACCACAGTGGATGGTGCACAACCAGAAGACGTCCCTCGGTCACAACTTACTGGACAACGCCGATCTGCGTGTCCAGCGCCCTGTCCCCCAGCCCCCAGGGTCCCACCTGCCCCCAGCCCCTCAGGGAGTGCAGCCTGACCCGGAGCCTCAGGCTCCTGGAGGAGAAGACAGCGGCAGGCACCCTCTCCCCCAGAGGCGGGCTGAGAGGAGCTTCACCCCAGAAAGCAGACACCCTCTCCAGCCCCATAGCAGCAGCACATCTCAGGGAGCCGAGGGCGGGCGGGCTGGGGGCGGGCAGCCCAGGCCAGCAGGGGCAGGCGTGACCCCAGGCCCCAGCCTGGTCCAGAGGGGCCAGCCTGCAGCCCCGGGCGGGGAGGGGTGAGGGTGAGTAAGCAGCCAGAGCTGGAATTCTGACTCAGGGGCTGGCCTCGCATCCTCCGCCCGGCCGGCCCTCACCCCGCCCTCACTCCAGGAAAAAAAAAAAAAACAGGGGCCCCCAAATCGGCAAGCGATTTAAGCCTCCCTCGTAAATCACTTTGCCCTGAAAAAATATATTTATTATTCTTAGCATTTTACGCATTATTTGCAGAGTGGAGGGTATTAGAAATTTCAAAACAGCCCAGCGAGAGGCAGGACTGAGCCGAGGAGAGAGACTGAAAACTCGCGGAGTCCGGAAACAGATACGCGAAGTTTCCTTATCTTTGGGCTGCAGATGTCCGGATAGGAAACTCCGGCAGGAGATCCGAAAGGGCATTTTTTTTAAATCACTCAAATGAAAATACACAGTATAGGTGACTCCATGGAAAAATAATAAAGGGCAGGTTTTTTTTTGGTGGTTGGTGTGTGTGTTTTATTTAAATAAGCACGAGGAGACTGTGTTGGGAAGCCAGGGAGAGCAGCCCCGGGCCACAGGGAACATGACTTCACGGCCCTATTTTTAAAAATTTAACAGAGGCCAGGGGACGGGACCTGGGCCCCTGGATGCTCAGCTCTGGTGGTGGTGTTGGGGGGGAAATCCCTGAAGGTACCAGGTGGGCTGCCCAGGGGAAATCGGGCCTGAAAAGAATCTAGCCTAAAAAGCCGGGCTGCCCCAACTGCCAGGCAAGTGATTCTCATGATAAAAGATTTCCAGCACCTGCATTTGAAGGCTTGTTTTTGCGTAATTAACTGCGGGCTCGGCCCTGGCCGGCACTCTGGCCCCGGGTGCTCCCCCGCCCCGGGCCCCGCACTGCTCACCAGCCTCCGCTTGGGCTTGATGAGCGGCCGGTTCTGCCCGTTCATCTTGTGGTAGAGGCCGCAGGCGTTGCATAGGTAGTGGCCCGTGCCGTCCCGTCGCCACAGAGGGGTGGCCGTGGCCCCGCAGTTGACACACTCCCGGCCTTCTGCAAGGGGACGGGGAACACAGGGTCACACGGGCCAGGCTGCTCTGGGGGCGGCAGACTCTTAGCTCCAGCCAGGCTGGAGAGGGACCAGGAGGTGGGATTCACGGGGGAGGGCAGTGGGCCCTCGGGGTTCTGCTCGGGGCATCGGCTCGGGCCAGCGGAGGCTGGGCCCCCTCCAGTCCCTCTCCCCTCCGCCCCGTCCTCTCTCCCCAGCTGCGGCTGTCTCTCCGGGTCCCTGTCGCGGGCCCTCAGATTCTGCTGTCCGGCCCTGTCCTCGGTCACTTCCTTCTCTCTCCCCAGCCTCCCTTGCCTTCCGCCGAGGCCCTGGACTGGGATGGAAGTTGCTGCTCTTTCAAACGAAGTAAATAATCAGCCCTTTCGTTTTTGGGCTGAGTGGACTGAGCGACCTCGCGGGGCGGCTGCTGGGGGTGGTATTTTGTTTTGTTGTTGTGAAAAGACCATCTGGAATTCGAATAGAACGTAAAACCAATTTGAGAGAAAGGACTGCTTAAAACGCCAGCGAGCTGGCCGGAGCAGACCAGGGCCCCCCAGGGTAGGACCCCAGTGGACACGGGCGGCGGCCTCAATGCGAGGTGACCCTGCACGTTTCTCCCCACATCGTTTACATCGTCAGCCCACACGGGCAGAAACGTGTGGCTTCTGGACTCTGGAGCGAACGCTCTACAAGTGGTCTTGAAGGGGCTGGAAGGAGGTGAGGACGGCAGGAGCCGCAGAGTCTGCCCGGCCGGCTCCAGCCAGTCCCCGTGGCCCCGGGCAGAGGCAGCCCCTGACCCCCCAGCCCTTGGGCGGGAGAGGGAAGGACACGCCAGGGGGCAGGGAGCTGGCCGGTCCGGGAATTTGGCCTCAGGGGGGACTCTCCCCAGGAGATTGGGAGCCACGAGATCCCGAGACCGGCCCAATCGAGCTGCAGATCTAGATTCCTCGAGGGTCTGGAGCCCCGGGGAGGGCAGAGGGCACCCGGCGCAGCACCGAGGCTCACGGACACACGGACACTCCCTGCGCCTGGCGTTCTCTCGCACACCGTCGTGAGAGGTTCGCTTTAGGCTCAGGGAAGGGATGGGGGACCCCAGACGGGCAGTGGCCCACTTTGGAGGGGAGGGTAAGGAATGGGGACAGGAAGCAAACTCTAGGGCCACCAGAGCACCTAAGAAAAGGGCGAGGTCGGCGGGCACCTTCTCCCTGTTCTGGGCACTCACACATCGCTCGGGGGCCATCAGGGACGGACACCAGCCACCCCGATCGGAGAGACCCAGGCGGCCCCCTCGCCCGGGTCTCAGCCCCCTCCCACCGAAGCGCGAGCCCTCCCCACTCCCGGGAGGCCCTGGGTCCTCCCCTCACCTGAGCAAGAGCGGGCCTTGCTCCGCTGCTTCGGGGTGAAGCTGGAGGCCGGGCCACCCAGGAAGCCTCCGGGATGGAAGAGCCCGCTGCCGTAGTCGTGGGCGGCGGCTGGCACGTAGGAGGGGTAGGTGGGGATGGGGTGGTGAGTGGCAGGCTGGGTGCCCATGGCGGCCAGGCCCGGACGCAGGGGGCTGCCGCCTTCCATCTTCATGCTCTCTCCCAGCGGCACCTGGTACTTGACGCTGTCCTTGTCATCCCCCCGGGGGGCGGCGCTCCCCCCTGCGGAGGAGGAGGCCGGCGAGGCAGCCCCAGTGGTGCTGGGGTCCGGAGACACTTCCTTGGGGGGCGTGGGCGGGAAGCCGAAGAGGTGGGCGCCAGAGTGGGCTGCGGTAGGGGTCAGGGAGGCCACCGAGCTGCCGCCGCCCCCGCCCCCAGCCCCGGCCCCTGGGTACACGGACAGGGGGCCCCCGGGGCCTCCTGCGGCCGAGGGGTGCAGGGGCGTCTTGGAGAAGGGGCTCACGGTCCAGGGGTTGTGGTGGTGTGCGGCAGCCGCGGAGAGCGCCGCCTTGCCCCCGTCCAACCAGGGCAGCCCCGGGCTGTGCAGCAAGTGCGGGCGGCACATCTGGCCTCCGGTCAGGCGGGCTGCGGGGGGAGGGGACGTCAGGGTGAGCCGGTGAGGGTAGCCTGGATGCCCCACGACCGCGACCCCTCCCCAAACACAACCAGAAACGTAACACCCCAACTGGCAATTCATCAGGAACATCAGTCCCCAGCTGAAGGGCAAGTGGCACAGAAGGACCCCCTGGATGAGCCTGGAGGGGCCCCTCCCCCCGCCCCCCCCCCCGCAGGCCAGCTGAAAACAGGCAGGAGGCCGCTGCCCCCTCCTTTCCCGCCCCGATTTCTCGAACCCCACATCCAGGAAACAGGCAGCGGGCCTCCCCGCGTCCCACGCCGGCCGCTGGGCGTCCGGGCTCCCGGTCACCCTCGGGTCCGGGGCTCACCGTGCGCCGGGCTGTAGGAGACGCGCGCTCGCGCGTGGGCCGGGTTGGCGTAGTAGGGGTTGCCCTGCGAGTCGAGGTGGTTGAAGAAGACGTCCACCTCGTCGGGCGGCAGCAGCTGCGCCGGCTCCATGTAGTTGTGCGCCAGGCCCGGGTGGTGCGAGTCGGGGTGCTGCGCGTTCAGCACGGCGGGGTGCGCCATCCAGCGCGGCTGCTCGGGAGCCACCTCCATGGCTGGCGGCGGAGGCGCGGGGTCTGCGCGGAGGCGGTGGCGGCGCGCCTGCACGACGGAGGGGGCGTGAGGGGGTTGGTGAGGGGCGCCGCCGCGGCCGGACAACCCTCAAGCCCCGCCGTGAGGCGTCCCGCGCGCCGCTGCGCCCCAGCCGAGCTCAGCCGCGGACCAGTCCCGGGTGGGAGGAAAGCCCAGAGCTCAAAACGAAAGGAGGGGCGGGGGGAGCCGGCTCAGCCACGCACGCTCACGCGGTGACCCGGGTACCCAGAGCCACACGCTTCTGCGCACGGGGTCACGCGCGGGGACAGAACCCCGGCACCAGTGACCCCAAACGCACGTAGAGAGCCGCACTTTAGTGACCCCCATCCCGCTCCCCGCACCATGCCGCCCCGCTCCATCCCTGTGCACAAACGCGTAAAGGCAGACTAAAAAGTTAAAGCCGGCGCCCGGGTTGGGGGGGGTGTCCCCGCGGGGCGCACGATGCTGGTGACACTCACAAAACTACTCTTAGCGCTGACCTCGCCCCCCCCCAGACACACACACACACACACACGCAACCCCACGGACCAAGCGCCAGCCCCCCGCGCGCTCCCCGGCGACACAAGCCGAACTTCTCACCGAGGCTCCGCACAGCGGTCACCCGCGGCCCGGCCCCCGTAGTGACCTCTCGGAGCCAGGCGCGCCCCAGGCCCCCCCCCCCGCCCCGCCAGCTCTCGGAGCCCAAACTTACCGACGCAGCGGCGCGGGAGGGGCGCGGGCTCGGCGCGGACTCGGGGACGGCGCGTCCGGCGGGCCGGAGGGGTTCACGGGGTGCGAGCGAGGGTCAGCGCGCGCCTCGGCCACGGGCCCGCCCGGCTCCGGCCGCTCCGCATCGTCCGGCCGCGCTGGCGCCAGCTCGCGGCTCCGGCACAGACATGAAGCGGGGGCCGCGCGCGCCTAAGAAGCGCGCGCCAGCCAATCAGCGCCGCGCGCCGCCCAGCCTCCGCCCCCCATTGGCCGGCCCGCGGCTCCCGGGCCGCGGACTCCGGACGCGCCCGCGGGCCGCCCCCCGCGCCCGCCCGCCCCCTCCCGGCGGCCCCTGCTGCCGACGTTCCCCCCGCCCCAGGACCCGCGCCCCGCGGCCGGCTGCTGCGCCCCCTTCTCCGGGCCCGCGTGGACCCCTACCCTCCAGGCCCTGCTCCCAGTAACTACCCTCCAACCGGGCTCCCTCCCCGGGAGCCTGGGCGCACCCTCTGGGTGTTCGGGTGTCCTCTCCCGGGGACCCCAGTCCGTCCACTCTCGGACCCCGCCTCCTTTACCACTGAGCGTGGCCACGGTGGTCCACCTACCTCCCCAGGCCGTCCCGTCCTCCAGCGGGGGCTCTGGCCAGACCGGGGGCCAGGGGGTCGGAGGACAGCTGCGGGTCAGGGGGTCGGAGGAGCAGCGAGGGGCAGGAACTCCAGGGCCCCCCGTGGGCCCCTGGGCCTCGGGCAAGAGGCCGCTTAGGACCGCTGGACCCGGTGGAGGTGGCCTGGCTGGGGCTCCGGGGAGGGGGAGGGGGGCGCCCCCTTCCCGGGCGTGGCCTTCGCAGACGGACGGGCCGAACTGCCTGGGGCGAGGCCGTGCAGACCCGGACTGGCGCCGGCGCCGGCTCGAAGGAGACGCCTCGGGGCAGGAGGAGGCATTTTTCTTCCTGGGGGGTGGGGTGGGGGGGGTCCCTAAGGCGGCCCCTGGGCAGGAGATGGTGGTCTGAGAACTAAGACCTCAGCCACCTGGGACTGCTCTCCACAAACGTCCAGTCCGGAGATGCAGCCGCGGGTGAACCCGGCCCCGCGAGCCGCAGTCTGCTCGCTCCCATTGTACAGACAGGAGACCGAGGCGCCCAGGGAGGGGGTCGGGAAAGGGAAATTGGGGAGGGGGCCTGGAACAGGTGCGGGGGTAACGGGGAGTCACCGACGTCCTCCAGCCCCTCTCCACTCGCTGGGCCCACGGACCTCGGGGATAGACGCCCAGAGGGATGCTAGGTGGGCTCGCTGCAGGGGGGAGGGCCGGGGTCCCGGCCACCCCCGGGAGGCGGGGGGAGGGGCAGTGGGATTGACAGTCGGTAATTGGGTAACTGGAGGCGGCTTCTCCGGCCGGGCAGCCCCGCCACCGCGACGCCGGGCCCCTGACGTCACCCGATTCGCCAGGAAATGAACTTTTTAATAATCTGAGGAGGGAGGAAAGCCCTCGGTCCCCTCGGCTCGGGGGGCACCAGGCCAGGCCGGGCTCCGCCGGCATGCCCCCGTCACCCCCTCCAAGGCCAGCTTCGGCAGCGCCATGAGGGCCTCCCCCTGCCTCGGCGTCCCGCGGTCTCCTTCTGCCCGAGGCCCCGGCGTAGGTAAAGGAGCGGGGGGACAGGGGTGCAGAGCCCAGGGCCGAGGGAACCCGAGCGTCTCTGGCTCTTGGAGACACGTCTGCCCTGGCCGCCAGCCGCGCCTCCTGCTCCGGGGAGCGCGGGGCCGGGATTCTCGGGACTCCGCTCCGCAGGAGAGGAGGCCGGCACTCGCCGCGAAAGGCGCGCCGGGGCCGGCAGCGAGAGCTCGAGGCCCTGAGCGCCGAGCCTCGGCTGCCGGCCCGCGCAGGTGAGTGGCCTCGGCGCCTCCCGGCTCGCGCGCCCGAAACGCGCGCGGCCTGGCCCGGACCTGGCCTCTCCGTACGCCTGTTTCTCCTCCCTGCCTGTAGCTTACGATTCATCAACGCGTAAAGCGCGGTCGCCGCGCGGCGTCCAGCCTGTCTTGCCTTCTCAGAGCCCTGCAGGGGCTTCTCAGAGACCGCGCGGCACCGGGGACGATCCCCGGCGTCCGGCAAGGCCGCCCCAGGGAGTTCAGACGCGGGGACCGAGCGCGGGGGGCCCCGGACCCGCAGGCCGGCCGCGAGCTGGTGAGCTCCGGAGCCGAGCGGAAGCTTACCGCCGGCCGCGATCCCAGCGTCGGCTCGCGGGGAGACGTCGTTCCCAGCCTTCAGGAGAGCAGGTAACCGCCTTTTCCCTCTCAAAGCGCGGTTCAAATGATCTCCGGGGCTGGGTGGGTCTGCAGTTTCATAACCGCGAGCTCGGCTGCAAGCTCCTCCGGGGCAGACTGAAGCCCCTCCGGGGCAGCGTCCCGGCCACCGCAGGGATGGAGTGACTGCCCGGTGGGTCCTGCTCGAGCCGCAGCCCCGCGCTGCTCGCCGGCCCAGCGCAGCTCGAGGCCGGAACGGGGGGATTTAATTACTCCGCTCGGCGGCTCAGAAAATCGCTGCGAAGAGGAGCTTAGCAGCGCAGTTAAGCAATGCTCGAGCGGGGGGCCTCCGGAGAGCCGCCCCAGCCCCCCTTCCCGCAATCCCGGCCTAAAGGAAAAAAGGGAAAGGGGGACCCAGCCTGGTCTCCCGGGAACGGGGGGTCGCCTTCTCGGAGAAGGCAGGCGGGCAGGCGGCCGGCTGGGCCGAGGCCTCCACGGTAACTGAGCCCCTGCGTTGGACCCGGGACTAATGCCTTCTCCCGAAGGAACGAACCCGCGGGGAGAGGCAACCGGGCACCAGGCAGCTCGGCCCCCAGCCGGCCAGTAATGGGGGGGTCCCCGTGAGTGTGTCTGCTGGACAGACGGATGGGTGCTAACCAGGGGCGTCCCCCACTGAGCAGTGAGACCACCGGATGGCTGCTGCGAAAACAACCTCCAGGGAGGCTAAGGGCAGCTCGCAGCTCCCAGGACGGCCTGGGCTGGGGTGGGGGTCCGGGACTGCTGAGAGCGGATTTATGTCCACTCAGGACCTTGGACTTTGGGGGTCTCCAGACACCCACTTTGGAGGCACGTGTTCCTTTTTTTTCTTCTTTCTCTCTCTCTTTTTTTTTTTTTTTGTTCACTCGCAAGGATTGTCGTGAATGCGGGTCGCTGCCCTTTGCTCTCACTGAAGCTGTCCCTTCCCTTACATGGGAACAAGACTCTCCAAAGGACTGGGGAAGGGCAGCCGCAAAAACTGAGTTTTCTAACGACCTTTTTCAAATGACTGGAGACTCTCCGGTGGAGCGTGGCTCGGAGGCGCCTGGGTGCTTTCGCAGGGAGCTGGGGGTGCAGACATCCGGAGCCTCAGCCCTGCGCCCAGCTGCCCAGGGCTCCCCCATCCCGGACAGCCCTCTTCCCTGCCCTTTGTTTCAACTTTGCTCCCCTCTGGGACCGTAAGTTCGCCCTTTCTTTGTAACCGAATCCGTCTCACCTTTTCCCGTGGGCATTTAATTGGCCAGCAGTGCAGGGCGTTTTAAAGAAATCCATTTGCTTAGCAGCTGCCTTCCATAGGGATATTTAATTTGCCCCCCAGCAGCACCCCCCAGCTCCACTCTGGCAGTGTGACTTGAGAGCTCCTGAGGAGGAAGAGGGGACTGCTCTGGCCAGAGGGGTTCAGAAGTCTCCAAGGCAAGGCCTGAGATCGGGCCTCAGCCATCCTCCAGAGGGGCACCCCTGAGCGGGGACCAGGAACCAACAGCTGCTTTCAGGTTCACTTCCAGCCCTAAACTCCAGCTCCCTCTCTCCCGCCTCCCTGCTGATTCTCCCACTCCCTCTGTGTTTGGGGCCTTTGTGAATCATAAAGACAGGGGCCCAATGTCCTACACGTGTCGGCACCCTGGGCCCAGGCTCCTGGGTGATCTTGGGAGGTTCTACCCAGCACCTCCAAGCCCGACGGCGTGGGGCCCTGCTGAGACCTGCAGGCAATCAAGTGCGATTCCCCCTCCTCCACGAACAGCCACGGTTTGCTCGGAGGCCTGGCGGCCTTGCAGCCCGGCAGTAGGACAACGGGTAAATCCGTTTCGTTAGATGCAATTTGTCTGCAATTTGTCAACCCGGCTGGGAAACGCGCCCCAGACGCCCGGGCTGCCGCTGGCCCTTCCTGCTTCTTGGATCCTGACTACTCATGAACGAATCCCAGCGCGAAGAGCCTGCATAGACCAGAGCTCACAGCCAGATGTCCCCGACCCCCGGAGACCTGGCTTTTTCCAAAACAACGAATTTCCTTCCGTGTTTTCCGGGAAAGGAGCGGCCGCAGCATCCGGGGGCCCTGAATGCCAGACCTTTCCCCTCGCTGCTGGGGCAACCTGGAGTTCAAGCCTGACCTCTGCGGAACGATTCTAAATGCCCTGGGTGTAGACAAACCCAGAACCCCGCCGTCTACGCCTCCCGCCTCCCCGGAGGGAGATCCCCGAGCCGGCGGCGGCCCCATTCTTATTGAAATTCCACTAAAAGGATTCCGACTCCGGCATGGGGTGGGGGTAGACTTCCAGACCCCAGGTTCTCCCCACCCGCACCCCAGCCACACAAGATAAAGGGCCGCGGGGCGCGGCCCGCGGGGGCGCACGCAAGAGCGCGCCGGGTTAAGCCGCGCAAAGCCGGTGCACGGGACCAGCCGGCAGGTGCAGCCCGCCATCGGCTGCCCGGCTCAGGCACATCGCTGCCGCGGCCTGGAGGTGGGGGGCGGCCAACACAAAGGGCCCAGCCCCGGAGCTGGGGCGGGACGGTGCTCTCTGCGTCTCTCGGAGTAACCGCGACTGGGGCCTACGGCTCCGTTCGAGAAATGGGAAGGCCTGCTGGCCACAACTGCCCAAACGCTCTCTCCGGTTTTGGCCCCTATGAACCTGGGGTTCCAGGCGCTCGGATAGCTAGGGCAAGCCCTAGAGGCCACATGTTGGGGGGCACCGGGCCAGGCGGACCGCGCGACTAGGATGCCAGGTGGGCCGAGCCTGGGGCTGGCAGGGCCCTGGCTAGGCGGAGGGTTGACTTACCAAGAGAGATGAGGTGGGCGGCGCCCCCGGGCGGCCAGGGCTGGGGCAGAGCGGGGCGCCCAGGGTGCCGCGCGGGCAGGCCGCGTCACCAGCGGGGCCCGGGCGGCGCGGAGAGCGGCCTCATGGTGTGCGGCGGGCGGCTTTTGTTTGCGGGGTGGATGACGGGGTGACGGCAGCCAGGAGGAGACGTGAGCGGTGAGCCCGGCAACGCTGGCCCTCCCTGCCCCCCCACCGCCGCGGTCTGCTTTTATTTCGACAGCACTTTGGAGGTGGGGGGGAGGTGGGAGCGCTGCGGGGGGTGGGCAGGAGGGTGCCCGGGGCTCGGCGCCCAGCCTCCCTGGTCCAGCCGCGGCGGCCAGGGGGCGGTGGGCACTCAGGGTGCCTCTCCCAGTCGCCTCCACTCCAGCCCACTCCCGCCCTGGCAGGGGCACACACACCGGGATGTGCTCAGAAAGGCCTGCGGTCTGTCTTCCGAGACTCTCCCCCGGGACCTCCAGAGACATGGGCACACACGCACGCACACAGATGCCTGCTTCTCCTCCTCCGACCCACCTCGAGTCACACAGCCACACGCACATCCGTGCACACGCATTAGCACACTCGGCGTGGATGGACATCCTCGGGCAGGAGGTTTGGGTCACACTGACGTGCACACACTCAAATGTAGCTTGACACACACCTGACATTCACATGACTGCCTCCCTCCCAGGCTGATGAGGCTGGGTGTAAACAAAGCCCACGCCCTGGCCCACCTATACCCCACCCCAACTCCAGAGCACGCCAGAGGATTTTAGAAGTGGAGTTTGAGACACCGTCTGGCTCTTCCCCGGAGAGCCCTGGAGTGAGCAGGCGGTGGGGGCAGAGAGCTGTTCTTGGAAGGCTGGGTGGAGGAGCGGGGAGTCTTCACCCCAAGAAACTCTTGGGGTTGGGAGCTAGGAAGGCCAGTTCTTGAACTTCCAAAGTTCCTACCAAGAGATTCAGCACAGTAGCTGGTGTCCCATCCCAGCTGCCCAGGGAGAGTGAAAGTGCCCTTGGGGACCTTTGGCCCAAAGACAAAGTGCTTTGCCTCCAAAAGACTGGGAAGTGCTTGCCCAGGTGCGCTCAGAGAGGAGGTGTGTCCGAGCTGCCGGGTCAGCGGGCATCGCTGCATGGGGGGCTTTCTTGGAAGCTGGTGGTGACTTCGAGTCCTCTGGGCTGAGTGCCCATGTGTGTCTGTGGGCACTTGTGAGCACTGTGGAAGGGAAATCTGCAGAGCTGAGACTATTAGTCTGTCCGCTACCTCTTGTGGGTCCTGGACGCTTTGTGTCTAGTCTGTTCTGTGGGTCCCTGCGAGTTTCTGTACGGCTGTTTCAGAGTGCGACCCGCCAGTGCACTCGGGAGGGAGGGAGCAGCGCTGGAGTTGGGTGTGTGCCCCGGTGCATCTGTGAGATCGGTGTGACCGTGGACCTTGTGATAGGGCGTGGGTGTTTCCGAGAGTCTGTGTGCACGTTGCTGTGTGTCCCTGGGGACACACACAGGAGTGGAGCGGTAGGTCTCTGGGTCCCTGTGTCAGTGAATTGGGCTGTGGGCATCCGTGTGGTGGACCCATCTGGGCGCCGTGTGTGACTCCTCCCAGGGCTGCTCTGTCCGCGGGCTGTGGAGGAGTGTGTCTTCCCAGACCGCCTGCCGGCGCACCGTCCCTGACCAGCAGGGCAGGCCGCCAGCGGAACCAGGGTGCCATTTGCGAGGGCACTCGCTGTCTGTCTGTGGGAGGGGGAGATGAGCTGATAAGGCTTATCTGCCAAAGCCAGCGCCATGCTGAATAACCGCTCTAATGAGGTGGCCTCCTTGGGGGGGGCGGGGGCGGGGGCGCAGGAGCGCACCCCCACAAACCCAGCAGGCGCGGTGTCTACGGGGCCTTTTCTAGTCTGCCCTGCTCCCTGGGAGGGGGAACTCCCCGTCTCCACCCCAGTTACCACCTCCCTTCCCGGCAGGGCTGGAGCCTCCCTAGGGTGGATGGAGAGACACGCAGAGTCTATGCTAGAAAGGCCCAGAGAGACCGGTGAAGGGGACAACGCAGGCAGACCCCAGGACAGGCTGTAAAAAGCAGCAGCAACAGAGGGCCTGGTGGAGGGTTGGGGGACCCTCCCGGACAGAAAGAACCAAAAAGTAGCAGAAAGAAGAAAAAAAAAAGTGGCAGAAAGGGCTGGAGAGTTGGGAAGGAAAGCAGTGAAAGTGTTAACCCGAGAGAGAGACGCGGTCCGAGAGACGGGGGATGCAGAGGAGGGCACCCGAGGGGTTCCCAGACCTCGGCGGGGAGGGAGAGCGGGGAAAGGGCCCCCGGGGAAGGCGGGGAGAGAGAGGCGCTGAAAGACAGACTAGGCGGGTGGCAGACAGGACGGACCGCCAGCCGCACCCCCACCCCCACCCCCACCCACCACCTCACGTCCGAGCAGCCTGGAGTGCCCAGGCCCGCCGGCCCGGAGGGCGTGAGCGCGGAGCCCGCGGGCAGGCGGGCGGGGCCCCAAGGCGCGGGCAGGGGGCTCCGCGCGGGGCTGTGCCGCTGTCCGGGGGTAATTTTTCATCTCGGCCGGCTAATCTTTGTTCCCGGCGAAGATAATGAATAGCCAATCGTTATCTGCCCGGCTCCCGGAGGCTGCCCGAGAATGGGGCTGTACAGGGTTAGGGAATTGTTTCCAAAGTGCCGCGGAATAAATGGTGTTCCTTATCTCTGCCTTCCAGATTATCGGAGCCCTTTCAGAGCGCGCACAACAAATGCGCCCGCCATCGAATGCATCATTTACCACCGCAGATCCGCGCGTTGATGGGCAGGCAGATAGCCGTCCGCGGGGGGCATTCGGGCGCCCGGTGCGCGGGCCGCCGGCCTGCCTGCCTGCCGAGGGCACCCGAGTGTGTGTCCCCGGGTGTGCCCGGCCTGTGCAGATGAGCAGGGCAGTGTGCCAGTGGGTGGGCACCGAACGAGCAGGGGTGTTGGCGTACCTGCGGGCACGTCGAACAAGTGTGAGATGAAGAAGCGGGGGTGTGTGCTCAGCCCAAGTGCGGGGGTGGTCCAGGTGAGGCTGCCTGAGAAAGGGGTGCTGCGTGAGCGTGCGTGCGGGCGGGCGTGCCCCCCAGCGTGAGCACACGCGTGCGAGAAGGGGCGGTTATGCCAGCCGTGCGTGCAGGCGTGGTTGGGGGGCTCTCCACGCGTCTGCCTCCGTGAGGCCGTCTAGGAGTGCACACGGGCGGAGGTGTCGCCTGCCACCAGGCCAGGAGGTGTGTATCCGGGCGTGGGTGTGCCACAGGCCCTCGGGTCCACGTTCTCCTAGGCGCGTGCTTCCACGCGTGACTCTGTGCGCAGGTCTGCACGAGGATGGTTGCGGCCTCGTGTATCTGCTGTGTGTCTTGGGGAGGGGGCAGGGAGGGCCCGTCCCTGGGCTTGCCTGTGGGTGGGCCCCCCACCCCCGCACACACCAGCCGGCCCCCCTCCAGCCAGAGGCGGTGTGTGCCAGGTACCATGAGCTGCCTGTGACCCAAATGAGGAGTTAGGCAACACCCAGGGGTCCCTGACCGCCCCGTGGCGCGCCTGCCCGAGGCCCCAGAGCCCCATCGCTCAGGACCTGCGGCGAGAGAGACCGGAGCCCCGCCGCCAGAGGTCCCCGCGCCGCCCACAAAGGCCGTGCTTTCCAGGCGTGCGCGCGCACCGACAGGGACACACACGCACGCACACGCGATGGTCCCCATGGCGACGCAGATAGCGCCGCAGCCATTTTCCCTGTCTCCCCGGAGCCTATTATACGCCGGGATTAGCTCGTCGCCAGGCAGGTCAAACCCAAAGTCACCCCACCTGCGGCGCCGCCCCGCCCCGCCCCCCGGCCGGGCCCGCGACCCCCGGCGCGCGGGCGCGGCGCGCCCCCTGGCGGCCCCGCGCGGGAGCGGCGGGCCGGGGTCCCTGTCCGCCAGCGATGCGTCCCCAGGCCCGCCGGTCCTCGGGACATGCCCCCCAAGTGTCTGTCGAAAGGATGGATGGACCGGCAGGAAATTACAGACGCGGGCTCCTGTCAACGCCACGCAGCCTATTTGGCAGCAAGATCACCTCTCAGAAGGACCCTCGAGAACCTACCTAACAGGCCTCTCTGACCCTCAGACCCGGTGTCCCCGTCTTCTGCTACGGCCACAGGGGCCGTCTCCGCGCGCTCTGGGGCCGGAACATTCCCGTCCGGGCTCTCTGCCCGATGTCGCCCTGCCTGGCCCTCTGTTCTCCGTCTGTACTGAGTGTTTCTCTCGCAGTGCGGACTGTGCGCCATATAAACTCGCCGGGTCTGTGACTCTGCTGGCTCCCGGGGGTGGAGGGCTGGCTTGTTCCCGGCAGCAGCTCAGCCCTGGAATCCTTGGGGGTCCAGGGAATGCGGGCAGGTGGGCCGGCCCCGGCATCTCTGCTCCACTCTTAACACCCTGCCCACCCAGGGTCCCCGGGGTGCTTGGCTCCACTGCCCTGCTGTGGCCTCCAAGTCTGGGGGTGGGGGCTTGAAGACCCCCCGCCGTGTGTTTGCGAGGGCGGGGGCAGGAGCCCGGCCTCTCCCCGCCGCCTGGGCCCCGGGAGACTTCACTCATAATACAAGATAATTGCCCAGCCTTGTCAGCAGGTGCGATGATGAATTGCTGTGAGCGGGCAACAGGAGGCCTCGGCCCCAGCGGGCTTCCAGGTGGAGCTCGCCGGCCCAGCTCCCTCATCAGGGGCTACTCAGCTGTGCCCATTCCTCCTGGAGCAGCTCAGGCTCTGGGGCCGGAGTCCCCAGCCTGCACAACCCCGCCTGGCTGGGTGGCCTTTGGCAAGCTGCTTTCCTACTCTAAGCCTCAGGTCAGGCCCTGGCGTTGTTACGAGAATTCCTCCCGAGCATGTATTTAAACAGCAAGTCGCATGCAACAACCCGCTCATGCCGATATTTGGAAATGGACGAGTTCACGTGAAGGGATCCGTTTCCAGCTTCGCTTGAAAACCTGTCTCCCAGGCCCACATCCAGCATGGCGGAGGTGGGCTCACCAGCCCCGGGCCCCACTGCAGGCCTCTGGGTCGGGGATGCGTCCTTCATAGAAATAAGGGGGACTGTGGCCACGCTGCTTTTGCGTTCCTTCTCTGCACGCTTTGGTCGTATTTCCAGGGTCTTTCTCCCTCGATTCTGTAAACTACTTAGTGTTTGTTAATTAATAAATCCAGTGGGCACTTTAAAGTGCTCGGCAACAGTGTTCTGAGTCCTGGGTACACAGTGTTGAACAAAATGGCTAAGGTACCTGTCTAGGGTTGCCTCGGGGAGCGAGCAGACTTGACACCTATGAACACACTGTCGCAAATTGTGAGAGGAACCGTGAGGGGGAAAGACCACACATTTACAAATACCGAACCTAGGCTTTTTTGCAGAGACATACTCTGGGCCAGGTCCTGTGCTGAGGGGTTGGGGGTGTGGAATAAGATCAGGTTTGGTCACTCTGTGATGAAGGTACAGGCACATCAAGAGATTCCACTCGTCCCAGTCTAGGGAAATTGGAGTCCCTGGTGCCTGCTTGAGCTAAGGCACGTGTCCTAGTCTGGGAGCATTATATGTAAAAAGTGTCTGCAAACCAATAAGAAAAAAAAAGTACAATTAAAAAATGGGCAAAGGTATAAAAAGAAAATTCAAAGAAAATGAAATAGAAAGGGATCTTAATGAAAACATGCTTAATCTCAGAGAAAAGAAAATTTAAAATATGTGAAAGATTCAGGATGAGAGACATGTTCTAAAATTAGACTGTGTGATGGCTGTAACTCCATTATCTTACTAAAAACTCACTGAAACATACAACTAAGTTAGCTTTATGTGGCGTAAATCATAGCATGATAAAGATGCTTAAAAATAAGTTGAAAACCAGTTTGAGACACCACTTGATACCTTTCAATATTAGCAAGTATCAAAACACACGATTGTGTATTGTGTTCCTCAGAGGGCGGGGGAGACGAGCTGGCAGGAGTGTCCACTGATGCACCATCAGGGTGGGATGGGAAATGTGACACTATGGCGTTTACAAGTGCGTTTATGCTTGGAGCCAAGAGTTCCATTTATTGGACTCTTCTGAGAGATACGCTCCCAGACCTGTGCAATCTGTAAGGGAATCCACGGCAGCCTTGTACATTACGGTACGATTGGAAACTCAAGATGCTCTCCTGGAGGAGACTCTTAAAAGTACTGTCACACAGCCAAACAGTGGACTGTTACGCTGAGAAAGAAAGGAGGGAGGGAGGGAGGAAAGAAAGGAGGCAGAAAAAAGAAAGAAGCAGCTCTTTATATGGATATCGCGTGATCCCAAGAGAGAATTAGTAGCACACTGCAGAAGCCTACCTGTGGTGTGATTACAAACGGGGATAAAATGAGAGGATCCATACAGATTTGCTTACATATTTACAGAATTTCTCTGGATGGAAAACAAAAGAACCAGTTAACAGTGGCTGCACCTACGAAAGGATATACATTTGGGTGGTGGGTGGTGGGCGGTAGGGAGAAGAGAAGGACCTTGATATACGTTTGGGTGGCAGGGGGTAGGGAGAAGAGAAGGATCTTACTGTCGAAGCTTTGATCACTGTTTAAAATTACACAGATGACAGACAGATGGAGATTGAGATACACATGGGTATACACATATCCTATACAAAAAAATAAAGGTTAAAAAACAAAATATTTTGATTAGAAAAATAAAGATAGAGAGGAACAGAAGTCTGCCAAGAAGAGAAGTTGGAGGGAACCCCATCACTGGCTACAATGCAGGAGAGAACTCTCTGGCCCTCTGGCTGAAAGGCGAGTTGGTCCAAGTAGTTTGCAGAGTCCTTTGGCTGTGTCTGGTAAAGTTGAAGACAGGAATGATTGTGACTCAGCATTTCCTCATCGAGGCATTTCAGAAACCCTCACACATGAATAGAAGAGATGTAGGCAAGGATATTCATGGGGCACTATTTGTAAAAAGAAAGAAAGAAAGAAAGAAACTCTGGATGTGAGTTAATGGCCCATCTCAAGGGAGCTGGACCAGCCAAGAGTGGCGCATCCTTGGATGGAATGCCACGCAGTGGTGACCTTGTGTGCCTGGCACAAAGCTTCGGTCAGAGGAGGAACTGGCAGAATTTTAAACACAAAACAGAACTGTATATCGTTTGTGGACATAAAGTGCATGGAGTAGAAGTATAGAGACAGAAATGGGACTAAATCTTCTGGAAGATATCATCATAAGATCTGGAAGAGAGCACGCCCGGCCGTGTTCCTGGATGGGAAAACTTAATACCATAAAAATGTCAATTCTCCCATATTTTTGGCCCAAATTTAACAAAATTCAGACTGGAATACCATGTGATTAAAAAAAAAAAACTGGATAAAACAACCTCAAATGTTATGTGGCAGAATGAATGCCCCGGAGTAACCGAGGAAAACTGGAAAAAGAGTAACATGGGGTTTTTGCCTTCCCGGAAATAAGAACATAGTACAGAGTCACTGTAATCAAATCAATATGGCTCTGGCAGAGGAACAGACAATGGAAAACAACAGAGAATCCAAAAATAGATTCCCGCGTACACGAGGACATAATATACGACAAAGGTGATAGTTCAGCTCGGTGGGAAGAGGGCAGATTGTGAAATAAGTGGTGTTGGCACAAGTGAACGTCCATCTGGCAGAAGAGAAAACTGGACCCTGCTAAGATATAGCCAAACAAATTCCAGATGGATTAAAAATGTAAGCATGAAAAATAAATAACTAGCAATCTTGCAAAAAACAAAAAAAAAATCTCGGAGGCGACACATGAGGCCTGGACGGAGGAAATGCAGAGGCCAGAGGCTGGGTGCCCTCGGCACCTGGACAGGCAGGCAGCCGCCCGCAGGGCCGGCGGGGCCCAGGTGTGTCCGGGGCCTCCGCAAGGCCCGGTCTCATCCACGGCCTTCTGCGGGAATGTCTGCCTCAGCACTTCACCTCCTGTGCAGTTTCATTCATCACTTTCTTTAAATCGGTGGATGCCTTTGTAGGAAGTTGTTACTAAGAGATAATTTTATATTACTGACAAGATAATGGGTTCGGTGGGCTAGTATTCTCTGATGCACGTGGCAATAAATGTACTATCAAGACGGAAAACTTTGGTGGCTGGGTTCAGGTTGCATCTTGGATGTCTCTCTGGGCAGGAGGGGCTGGAGTAGGGTCGGAGCAGTGGGCCCTAGAGGGCAGTGAGGCGCGAGCCAAGGTGCCCCCTCCTCCTGGCGCCCGCCTTCAGTCGGTATTCCAGACTCTGGCCTTTGCCCAGCGTCAGCACAGCTACAGCCCTGGTCCAAGCTGCTCACCTCGTTCCTGGATTCCGGCACCAGGCTTCTGGGTGGAAGGCTTCCCCACCGTGCCGTCAGCCCACCACGGCAGAGAGACCCTGGGAACACGTGAGCCTGCTCCTCCTCGCCCCGAGGAGCCCACGCCAGCTGATCTAACCCCTTGCTGACCCTTTGATCTCACGCGTTTGCTCGCTTACCTCCAGCCTGCAGGGGTTCCTGGCTGTTCCTCAGGCCGACCTGGCACACGTCGACCCCAGGATATTTGCACTTGATGTTGCCTTTGCTCAGAGAGCCACGTGGCTTCTTCACATGCTCCTGGCCTCTGCCCGAAGGTCACCCTCTCTGAGCGCCTTCCTGGACCACCTCCTGGTGAGAACCAGGCCAGCTGTGGGTAATTGCCAGAGAGCACATGGGCGCTGCAGGCTCTCTGGAGAGAGGCAGATAGAGACTGAGGGGCAGAGAGAGGCAGGGGAGTGAGAAACGGCCCTGCGGATGGGACTGTGCTCCAGGCACGCTGACTGCGGTGCAGCCAGCTGCAGCTCCCGTGCCCAGGCAAGGGTACGGGAGAACACGGCTGCTACCTCTTAGTCGGGCCTTCCAACCCCTGGCGAGATGAGAGGGCGTGGCCGTAGCAGGGGGCACGAACCACAGCACGTCTCCAGGCTTGTGAGCAAGAACACCGGGAAACGTGACGCAGGATCACTGTGCTCTCCACGCCACCAGAGCAACACAACTCCCAGGTATACGCCCAAGACATGGAAGAACGTGTCCACACACAGGCTTGTTGTACACGCATGGTCATGACTGCCCCAGAGTGGAGACAGGCCCGTCAGCTGATGAATGGCTAAACAGTGGTCCAGCCACACAGTGGAATATTACTTGGCTGTAAAAAAGGAACGAGGCCCTGATACGTGCTGAAACATGGAAAAGGTAGTGGTAAGTGGTTTTTAGTGTATTGACAGAGTTGTGCAACCATGACCACAGTCTAAGTTTAGACAATTTGCATCACCCCCAAACCCTTTATGCATCAGCAGTCCCTCTCCTGTCTCTGTCCCCAGCGACCAGTGGCAACCAATGCTGTGCTCTCTGTCTCTGCTGTGGGTGTTTGAGGTGCCTGGATGCACGCACCCCACTCTGTTCTCTTCTTTCACTTGGCACGATGTCGTCAAGGTCCAACCACGTCATAGCATGCTTGAAACTTC